AGGGGGAGAAGGTGATAGCTCCCACAAAGGAGCAGGAGGGCGAGCTGGCCGGATGGTGACCCCACGGAGGGAGAGCAGGAGGAAGGCCGGGAAGTTCGTCCGACGACAAAGGAGATTCGGTGGCGAACACCGAGCGCCCAGCAGCCAGAGGCAAAGGACGGGAAGTTGAAAGCTTCCTCTGCTTAGCAGGGGAAGGGGGGAGGAAGGAACAGATGCCGGATGTGCACAACACACAACGTGTACCACGGTTGGTACCGCAAGGACGGACACAGGGGAAGTTGGGGTGATGAGATTGTTCGTCACTGGAAGTTAGGATCTGATACGTTTTTTTTAGAAAGTTTGATTTGCTCACTGACAGCAGTCACATTCTTCTCCTTTAGGAGCGAGTTCCCACCTCTCAGTTTGGGCCGTGAGGAGGGCCAAGAGACTGGCCGAAGTTCTGACCGTTCCCGAGCGAGGAGCGGGGGAAGAAGAAGGGGCCTCCACACGTACCCATTTTTGGACGGGGGTGGGCGAAGATTTGGCCGACGACGAGGAAGAAGAGACAGATATTGGTGACGAAGTTTGTTGATGTCTCTTCTTAGGAGACTGTTACAACCTGAGAGCTAGGCAGTGACCTAACCTAACTTCAATGGACGACAGCGACGAGATACGAAGCGATAGCGTAGAGTGGATTGGACGATGATCAAGAACACCTCAGTGTAGACGCGTTATGGCGTAAGTCACTTAAGCAATTGGGATATGTGAAGTGGGTGGCAAAGCTGGTGAGAGTAACTTATGAGAATTCATCGACAAAGAAAGAGCCCTCATGGAGGGGGTTTATATAGACAGCAATTCTAGCCGGTAGCACCTTGAGAAGGAATATCTGACCAATCACATAAATGCCTCAGCCAACCCGTGAGTCACGGAGTTGACCGTGATGTACGGCTGAACCGTGAGTCACGGGGTGACCGTGCTTCACGGAGTTGACCGTGCTTCACGGAGTTGACCATGATTCACGGAGTTGACCATGATGTACGGTTCATGTGTCCCTGAGGTTATGACACAATGTGTAGTGTCATAACAGAGACCGAATGATTGAAGTTTTCTTCTTTGGACTCGCCTCTTTTGAGGGAGTTTTCCTCTTAGCCGGGGTTATGGACGGACCAGTGACAGCTTTGGGAGCTGTGGAAGACGACAAAGATGCCGACAAGGACAGGAGGGCAGCCGAGAGAGAAGAGAGGCGGAGACCAGCCGAGCTGGCGAGCTGGCGAGCTGGCGAACCAAGGACGAAGGGGGCGCAGGAGGCGGGGACTAGACCCAGGACACTAACATCAGCCATTTGACCTAAAACTTTTGACGAGGTTTGCAGGAAGTTCGAACTTACTACTACGAGTCCGTCGGGCAACGGTGGCAGGAGGGGATTTCACGAGTTTGCGAGGTGTAGACGTGGCCATGAACGACTATCCGTGCTCCCGTCTCCTCTCTCTCTTCCTGCTCAGTAGACTGATCATTGCCAAGGGGAGGTTCACCTCCCCGTCTGCATCGAGCCCGCTTGGGATGGGCGGGCTCACTACAAACAAACTAACTACTAACTACAAGACAGTAGGATGAAAACTCACTAACCAATTGACGAGTTAGTGAGAAACCTTATCCGTCACTACAAGAACCAAAAACTCCTCAACAATCCGTAAGCCCTCCAACCCGTAAACCCTCCGATCCTTCTCTGACACCCGTCTAACCAACTCATTCGAAGATAGGTGCCCTCCGATCCGACTGACGATAGGTGAGGCGGTGAGAGCGAAGGGTGAGGGGAAGGCGGATGGTGCGGTTGTGGGACGGGAGGGCAGTTGTGGTTTGTACCTGTACTTGAAGCAACCTGTTGGTACGGTCGGTGGAGTCTGGGGATGGACGGCGGGAAGACGTAGAGAGATGAGCTCTCGAAACCACGATGATGATGTGGATGGAGGATCATGTGGTTTTGCGGGCCACGAGACGTTCACTCACATTCCCCATGGGGAATTTCCATGGTTGGTATGAAAAGATGAAGATAGTGGGAGAGTTGGTTGAGATGTGAGAAAAGAGTTGAAATTGAAGAAGTTAGGGGGGAAGTTCGTTGGCCTGCAGAGTATAAGGGGAAATTCGTTGCTGTTGACAACAGATAAGGGCGTTCCCGTCGTCAACGTCGTGTTTCATGGCGACCAGGATACCACGATGGTCCCTGGATACGGGAAGAAAATTCTCAGCCTAAGGATTTTTGTGCTTCAATTTGTGGATAGTGCACTCATGGACAGGTTATTGCTCCCGTTCCCCATACATGAAATTCTTCCATCATTGTCATGTCTTCTTGCTACATACAAATTTCCCTCGCGCATTTTCAATCGACAGGAGGTTGTATGCGATTTTCAGTATACGACGATCTTGTTGTGCAGGTGGTGGAGTGACCAAAGGAGGTTTCAGAAGTTTCCTGAATCTTCGTGTGGGAATAACCTTGTCGGGATCCTGACTCTCAGGTCAGGCTGGGACCCGAACTTCATGCTGAGTTGTTTTGTTTATTTCGGTGTTAATGTTCACTCACGAGGACGTTCACGCTCAAGGAGGGGGCGACTGTCACGCGGCGCCGCGTGACATTGTCCTTTCCCATCAAACGAAGTTCCTTCGGACATCAGCTTGCCATCAACGATCCAGTTCTTATGGACTTCATCACCCATCAGGGTATTAGGAGGCTAACTTCGTCAAGGACGAAGTCAGTCATGTAGGAAGTTAGGAGGATACAAAGTTAGTGAGATACAGAGTTAGTGAGATACGAAGTTAGGGAGGTACAAGGTTAGGGAGGTATGAACTTCAGCGGGGACGAAGTTCACGAGGTACAAAGCTCGGGGATTCGGGTTGAACGAAGTTCTGCGTTAGCGAAGTTAGGGAAGAACGAAGTACTTAAGGGCCGAAGTTCCCAGGGATCTTTGACAATCTCTGGTTGTTGTCTTAGTGATAGAAGTTAGTAGAGCACGAAGTTATTACACCCAGAAGTTATTGTCACCACCCATACTATGAAGAACAAGCCTATCAAGGGTCACAGCCCCCGAAGTTGTTGGCCGTCGGTCCTAGGAAGTTAAGGAAGAATCAACCCTGTGACAATGACCCTGTCGTAACCCATATGATAGAAGGGCAAACTGTACATGCTAAGTAACCAAATGGCATAGTACAAGTGGTAGGAGACAAACGGGATATACAAATGGTATAGCAACATTTGCATAGGCAAATGGTATAGGCAGATGGCAGAGGTAAATGGTATAGGCAAATGGTATAGACAGATGGTACACGAGGGAGGAAGAAGGACAAATTGGAGATACCATCTGTTCAAGGAGAATGTCTATAAAAACCCCTTGTAGGATCCTCCTTCTCAAGGATCAATATATTTTCTTGCCACACCTCACAGATCTCGACTTAACCTTGCAGCTCGACTTGAATCTCAACATACCTTCCCTCATTATCGACACCCCTTTTCTCATCATCTCGACTTGCCAGATCCTTCCAAGTCACTCAGCTGTCCGACCAGCTTCACAAGTTTACAAGCTACACTTCGTTCGTCGTAGCTCAAGCTTGTAAACTACTTCAGTCCACCTGTCTCTTGTGTCTTAGAGATCTGCTAGGGACAGGTCGTGACAGTATCTCACCTGTCTGACTTGGTGTTGTCCCTGTATGTCAAGACCAGACTAAAGGTCAAAGGGTCTGCGTTGATGGCGATGAAGCTACTTTTAGGGACTTGAACTAGTTGCAAGATGATATGAGGATCAAAGCAAGTGGTTCGATGAGTGAATACTGGGTTTGGCAAATGTATATGAGAACTTGTATGTTGAGACAGACAAGATACTTTTGTTGAAGTTGTTCTAAGCTATGCACTACCTTATGTACATGGAATGAGAGTGAAATGTAGATAAGGGTGGCTGGTAGTGTTTATCAGTGGCGGGTAATGGGGATATTACCCAAACTAGCAACTTTGACGCGAGTGGTCATTACACTGTACTCTCAGGGTCCAAGGAGTGCGACCCAAGGGCTTGCAGGGTCGTGACACCAGCAGAACGGGATTGAGCCTCCTGCTGGCCCAACGTCCACTCTGGGCACCACCCTATTCTTGTCCGGGCACCACCTGCCACACTCAAAACGTTCAGGCACGTACCACCGGGATTTCAGTAACGCCGACCACGTGACGGACATGAGCTCGTCACTGATCGGGGTTACTGATATCCCGCCACCTCTGCTCACTCTTCTCTTACATTGTCAATGTCATTATTGTCAATGTCATTATTAGCTATACCATGTCATTTCCGGCCATTGTCCATGCATTCTCCTATCTATCAATGTCCAGGAGGATGATACGAGCCACGAGAGAATACCACGATTGCTCTGTAAGAAGTTATCACAATTTGATAGGTGGTAGTCAGGGAGGGCGCAGCGTCACGACCCAGCCTGTGCAGGGTCCTGACCCGAGACCCTGAGCTCCACCAATCCGAGTCGATCCGAGTCGATCTCAGTCGATATCAGTCAATATCAGTCGATATCAGTCGATATCAGTCGATATCAGTCGATATCAGTCGATACAAGTCGATATGGGTCGATGTGAGGCGACATTAATCAGAGAGCTGGACTTCCTCAAAAAGTATAAATACTAGACCTATCTACTTTATAGTTTTTCTTTTTAAAGGATCAAAATATTATTTGCCACTCACAAAAGACCTCTTGACATACTACTTACATCCGATACATCCCTCACCATCACATACACCTCTATCATCATCTTGACCTGCCCGGATCCTTCGCAAGTCACTTTAGTCGTCCGACCACATCTCAAGTCTACGGACAACATACTAACCGTCGTTGTCCAAGCTAACTAAACAGTTGCAGTCCACCTGTCTTTGATCCATCGAGGTCTGTCAAGGACAGGACCGTGACACGCAGGTTGAGAAGGCAAAGGGCCAGAAGTTGGTGTAAAATAGTCGTAAAAGAGTGAGAAGAGTATCAAAATGATCCTTGAGACAAGTGGAGACCGTGTGTGTGAAAAGGAGCGTGAGTTTACCAGTAAAATGACGATAAAGAGATTAGTGGTGGTGAAGACAGGTTGGTAGGTAGCGAGCAGACATGTCGTGTCGTGGTGATCGGCGTTACTGAAATCCCGGTGGTACGTGCCTGAACGTTCTGAGTGTGGCAGGTGGTGCCCGGACGAGACTAGGGTGGTGCCCGGAGTGGACGTCTGCTGGCCCACCACGGAAGGCAACTTAGAAGCCTCACGGCTAGCTTTGGAAGCGGGAGTGGCAGAAGGACCAGAGACACAATCCCTCAAGGAGAGACCACCAAGACCAAAAGACGAAACATGGCCAAGGCCGGGGAGACCCACTCATATCATCAGCCAACACCGTCGATGATTGTGTAAGTTTGTAGAAGTTACTCACATGCAGAATTTAGGGCTCCACGGAAGGCTTGAGTGGGGCATACCTGGACGCTTCTCGACATAAAGGATAAAGTGTAAGTTGTTCTGCATCCTAACTCGTCAAGTTCGATAGAACTGCTTCTAGTTGTTGTTACCCGGTAACAGAAAAGTATCAGGTGATGTAGATTAGCGACTAGGTGTAGAAAGAGAACAGGGGGAGGCCTATACCGGGAATGGTGAAGCCAAGACGAGACCGATGAAAGGGAGTATAGCTCTGAGGAACCCTTCCTATGTATCCGTGATCCGAACAGTTCTCTGGCTATGTCCGGAAGGAGTGATTTTAACCGTGCGCCTCCGGAGCTGTCCGTCACTGGCTGTGTCCCTAACAGTTTTAATCCTGCCCCAGTAACACGGATACTGATGTGGTTGGTTGCTGAATGGGTGTGATGAGTGTGGCGGGTGCGAGGGGCATTTGATGCGCGGGAAAGCTTGACTGATTTGACATACTACATACCGCAACTGTCAGCTTGATTCAGAAGATGTGGCCGTTCCCCTCAGAGACTCACAGCTGCTTGATAGCATGTATCATGAAAGGTTATCTCAGAATGGTCTTTGTGGACTTTCTGATTGCTTTGCGCTCAGGTTTGCATTTGAATCATGTCAGGACCAGACGTTGTAGATAGTCTGCCTCACTTGTGCTATGGCTGAAAGAGGCCTCGTAGGGGACAAACCTATTGATGTAGAAGATCTAATAGACCTGAAAGGTTATTGAGATCGAGTGGCAAAAGATAATACTAAAGAACACAAAATACATTTGACAAGGGGACTATGGAGATAGACTGCATCTATATAGAGAAAGGGGAACGGGGTGATACCAATGTAACAGAGTCAAGACGGAAATGGAGATGGGGTAGAAGAGCGAAGTAAGACGGACATCAATATGAGACATGGGGATCAAGGAAAAGTATCATGTGGTGTAAGAAAACGGAATAGGGGTAGTAGGAGAGGACATGGTAATGTACAAGAAGTATGACTACTATACTCCCGTAACCAGGTACCCGTGATCCTGACAAATCAGGGAACAAGTTGGTCATACCGCTTCAGGACATGCATGCTGTAAGGTGGTTAACCCCCAAGTCGGTCAAACCTAGTTACCGGTCAAGACGCGTCGGAATCATTCACCTTTATACCGTGTTGTTTTGTTTCTGTGTTATACTCCGTACATACAACCATGCAGACCTCGCAACAATCCCCTGTTGATCCCATGGAAGAAGCAATTCCCCTTTACCGTTCTCAAAGCCACCTCCCCCCCTCTGAACGCTACAGCCAGTGTGCAATAGCTCATCGCTTCAATATCAAGCAGTCCACATTCTCTGACCAACTCTCTTACCGAACCTCCTCTCGAGAAACATCCCATGTCCATTTACAAGCTCTTACCACTGAGGAAGAAGTGTGTATCGTCGACTACATCCACCAGTCTGCTAAAAGTGGACACCCTCCTACCCCAGCACTCATTCGCCAACTTGCTAATCACCTCCGATCCAATCGTCTTCACCTGTCTCCGCTTCCAATTGATGCAACACCAGTTCCACCACTTGGTATCAATTGGCTGAATAAATTCAAACAACGACATCCAGATGCCAAGACTGCTTGGTCCAAAAGTATAGATGCAGCCCGGATCAATGGATGCTCACGCCTGTTTTCGGAGACCTGGTTCAAAGATGTATCGGCAATCATGGAACAGCATCAGTATCTTCCATGTAACATCTACAATATGGACGAGACTGGGTACAACATGGGAAGCACGTTATCTTCACAAGTCATGACAGTTACTGTGGAGAAGGGAACAGGAGCTGTGTTCAAAGCGCAGAGAGGACGACAGGAATGGGTGACCGCGATAGAATGTGCATCGGCTGCGGCAACTGCTCTTCCTCCAATGATCATTTTCAAGGGAAAGGTGTAATTCAATCTTCGATGGTTACCAAAAGACAGAGACATTACAGGGTGGCAATGGCGGATCAGTGAAAAGGGGTGGACTAGTAATGCTCTCGGACTGGATTGGCTCAAAACTCACTTTCAGCCGCTGACATTGCCATCAGATCCAACCCAACACCGTCTCCTGATTCTAGACGGACATGGTAGTCTCCTGAAAGCAGATTTTATCGCTTTTTGTATTGAAAACAAAATCGACATCATGGTACTTCCGGCTCATACATCCCATGAAACTCAACCACTCGATAATGGGGTTTTCAGTCCACTTAAACGTCATCTCATGGAGTATGCCGATATTGCTGCTCGCTATGATTCCGGTCCTATCACCAAATCTGCTTGGGCAGCCGATCTAGTCTCAGCACGAGAGCTAGCCATGACACGGAACAATATTGGAGTTGGGTGGAGAAAGACCGGACTTCACCCATTCAACCCAAATGTGGTTTTCCGCCAATTAGATACCCCATCTACCCCTGTACCGATGTCCCAGGAGCTCTCGTCTTCATCACTTTCTTCTATTACTTCCAAGAATCATGATCTACTAGAAAATAGCCAGGCAATCAATGCGACCCCTATCAAAAAGCGACTTATATTGGTGACATCTTCACTGGAATCCGAGAGAGCAAAGTGCTCACGCTTGGAGATGACGGTCCAAGAACTATTGACCGTGATAAAACCTGCTCAGCGGAATCTGTCAAGACCAGACCGAAGGTCGAAGGATCTGCGTCGAGGGTGATGAGCTACTTGTAGGGACTTGAACTAGTTGTAAGAGGATACGAGGATCGAAGCAAATAGTTCGAGGAGTGAATAATAAGTTTTGGCAAATGTATAAGAGAACTTGTATGTTGAGACAGACAAGATACATTCGTCGAAGTTGTTCTAAGCTATGCACTACCTTATGTACATGGAATGAGAGTGTAATGTAGATAAGGGTGGCTGGTAGTGTTTATCGGTGGCGGGTAACTGGATATTACCCGAACTAGCAACTTCGACGCACGTGGTCATGACAGTATCCTCCCTTCCAAAAAATCATCGTCCACGATGATCGCATCTAATCCTTTCGTCCTCGAACCCTTAAATCCGATCCCATCAAAACCATTCCATCAATCCTCACAAACCCTTATTCCATCGATTCCCGCGTTGACCTGTTTTCTACGTCCATTGACTTTTCCAACATGTTTACGTCCTCTATTTCCTTCGTCCATTTGTCCTTTACTCATTCTTCTTCTAAACTCCTTACTCTCACACACACACATTCCATCCTTACACACCATGACCAAATCTCCTTCTCCAAACTCAGAGCTCACCTTGCTACTCCGTCCCCACGTCGTCAAGCGAGAGTCCTCCGCCCTCGAACAGAACTCTTCGATCCCCGTCGCAACTCCGTCGTCAGCCACTCGACAAACCGCCGCCCTTCTTCTGCGTTTGAGGGACCGCGTAGTTGACTCTGCTGACGATGATGAATATCTGGAGCCGGAAGAGGACGTCCCAATGGAGGACGAACTGGAGCAGGACGAATTGAGTGCAGAAGATGAACAGGAAAACCCGGTAGAACCGGAATCAAGTAGGTTTTCCTTTTTTTTTTGTTTGGAATCTTGGCGTAGAACTGATCGTCAGACGAGTTTCCCGGGATCGAAGACCTGGATTCGAGGCTAGCACAGTCTCGAATTGTGACCAATCCTGTTCCTCCCGCTACTCCCGCGCGGCAATCCAGCGACGAGCTGCAAGAAGTGGGGTATCTCACTCCGTATGTCGCCTCCGCCAAGAGCAAGAAAGTCGCTGTTGGCGATCGTGTGGAGATTTCGCCCTCTTCGGTGACGGTCAGCAATGGGACTGTAACCGTGTCTCACGGTTCGACCGTCACTCGCTTCCATGACGTACGGGTTCGAGCGTCTCCTCACCTGTCCAGGGGTCAATTGGTGTGTAATCTGTAACGGAATTGATGATCGAACTGATTTGTTCGAAGATCCTGGCCACATATCTTCAGAAGAACATTGGAAACCGTGCCTCAAACGTTCAGGCTCTGTGGACCGGTATGCTGGCTCTGCTAAAAGATCCAGACCTCGTGCTAGCAGAAGTGGATGTCGAAGATCGCTGTGATGG